CACTCAGCAGGTCCTGCACAGGTACACAGAGGGACCTGAGCTGTGACCCTGGCCAGCACAGGCGCAGGGAGGGCCTGAGCCGTGGCACTGGCCAGCACAGGCGCAGGGAGGGCCTGAGCCGTGGCACTGGCCAGCACAGGCGCAGGGAGGGCGGGGCTCACCTGGAAGTCGTCGTAGGGGAAGAGGAGCATTTCCCGCAGACAGTCGTTCAGGATCTGGGTCTTCTTCTGAACGAGGACATTCTCGTAGTCCAGGGGCTCAATGAGCTTCGGCTTTGCCTGGAAGACAAAGTCGGGTCACGGAGCATGCTCTGTTTGTGGTGACCGCCCGGCCTGTAACCCAGCCTGAACCCTGCATGCGGCCCGGGCCCGGGGGAGGAGGACTCCCATCAGCCAGCGTGGCTTCTGAGAAAAGTGCCCTCCTCAGAAACCATTTTACACTCTAGACCATAATATTTCCCAACTTCCCTACAACCGCACCGACTTCACTGTTGAGAGGAAAGAGTGAGGAAATTTGAAAGGGAGGCCTGCCACGGTCCCCTGCCCGACAGGGACGCCCACTCAGCCATCTAAGCAGCAGAGAGGCCGGCGCTGTCCGTCACACTTCCATGCCGCTGGCCAGCTCCCCCGAGCCTCACCACTGCCCACAGCAGAAGCAGCCCCGCCGCCGGCACCGCATCCCCACCCGGCCTAATCCACAAACACCCGAACGTCCTGAGCAGCTCCTGTTCCTACGAAACACTGTGTCCTCACAAGGTACAGACCAACTACAGAAACGTGCCTTACACCTCGGGAGCGACCTCTGGGGGGGAGACGTTGACCCTGCCATGCTCGGAGGACGAGGAGCAACACAAACCATGAGCTTTCTAGCCACTTCGTCGTTGGCTCCTCTCTAACCCCAGCACAGCTGTGGGCACGCTCTGTGCTGCAGGCAGACGGGTTCAAGTAACTGTGAACCACAGTGGCCAAGGCTACCACAGACACACACACACACACACACACAGATGTGTGTGCTACAGAAAGCAACTAAAACTGTGTGTGTATGTATGTATGTGTGTGTATGTATACGATTGTGTGTATATGTATGTGTGTATGTGTATGTATGTGTGTATATATCTGTGTGTGTATATGTA